TCGCACAAGAATATAACGTTCAATCGGGAATGACATTTTATAATTTGATAGCTCATATCCGTAAATTTCAAATGGAGGATTAAGGGGACCTTGCAACATCGCTGTGGGTATCGCGTAAATGGTTTCATAATAGGGTGACCAATATGGATATTATACCCCACATTGATCATTGTAGTAGCAAATTTCGTATTTTCGTCTCTCATAATTGTAATTGTCCTTGTAATATTAGCGCTATGTGTTACTTATCATGGCGTACTTATCCTAAGACGACAGGCGCGGATTTCACCCGCTGTGAACGATGGTAGTTTAGGGTTCCAGTTTTTTAAATCGCTCTGTGATATAATTAAAGACGAGCATGTCATATGAGTGAAACTCCTCCCCGAATGAGTTTCTCTTACAAGTACGATGAAACACAAATGGTCATAATGGTGGTTACATTGCACTAACCCCCAGATGATCAGCCTTGCTGACTAATTTCGTATGTGTTTGCCTCCAAATAACAAAAACGCTTCCTTAATCCAACTAGATATATGCTCTAAGGAGCAAATCATATTACGTGAGTTTGTTGTGTTCATTAATAAGGGAGAATCTACAACCTCGCTCCAGGACCTGTAGAATTGCGATATTGAATGGTTCAGCGTAAGCAGGGGGTAGTATTGAAGTTTGCGTAAATCATTAACCATCCTTACATAGATCAATCAGGCGAAGTTGAACCCGGGATCTGCACGTTTCTTTTTCTGTTAGTTGGATTATTCAGACGCTTTGCGTATTTACGTTAACAAATTTGACAGAGTTACTCAAGGAGATTGGCAATTTCCGCCAAGAAAATCAATTTTGTCTTAACCCATAGCTATCAAACACCAGCCTGGGGGCAATTCCTTGTTCATCATCTAACGCTAACCAGTCGTGTTGCATCAAATACTCTTTCAAGCGCTTCACAATTGCTGTCGCTATTTCTTATTGCGAGGCATGTTACACATGATGATGATGATAGCGTTAGTTTGTTTAGATCGTGTTTTTAGTGATGCAGCGATTGTCGTATCCCTATTGTATCTGATTATGTGTATACTGTACAAACCTTACAGCACATTTTAAACCTTTAAATCAGTGGTCTCGATGTACAACTTTCATGAATAATTTGCATCGTGAAATCACGTCGTATTCAATTCTAATAAAGTGCTTTTGGCACTTTTGCTTGAATTTGCTTCATCAAATTGCGAGAGAGAAACGGTGGCGCCAGTAAGATCCGAAATGACCTGACCAAGAGCCACATCAACGGACGCACAATGTTAAAGAACGCCAACTAAGTGATTTTTTTACTGACGATGGTATAGTGTTGATGACAGTAACAACATAGGCCTTTTTTAATACAGTACATGATTCAAGCCAGAGAACTTGTGATTGATTAAAATTGTTTGTTTTTCCAAACTTCATATGTCAATATTAACCCCCGGGATTCCACACAAAGGTTTAATGTATATATCCGATGAATTGAAGTTGCGGACAAATTAAATCCAATGCCTGTTTGCAGAACAATAACCGTCGAGCGCTCTTGGGACCTGCTATGACAACTTTACGTACGGCGTAATTTGTTATTCTGGTTTGTGAGCCAATTGTTTTAAAATAAAAACACAAGAGAACCCCATTAATCATTTTTATTGCATTTCGAATTGGTTCATCATCACAGATCGAAATTAGCTTAGAAACCTGGTATGAAGCTAATATAAATGTTAGAGTTTTGAAGAAGATTGAGACGAATCGTGTCTCAGCGAAAACCCCACAGGACCGCACTGCAGATTTCAAGAAACGTGTTGTTTTAGAAATGATTAGAATGGACAATAAAACATATTTTCAATTCCATATGTGTTGATTTATATTACTGCAGTCAACGTGCTTTCTCGCGAGTTACGTGACTTGTGGGCATTTACCAATTCACCAATGATAAGTTGGAAAATAACCAGGCTATAGACAATCTCAATGTGTCGTAATTGCGTGGGAGAAGAATAGGGATTCTTCTCATTTTAAGCATAAATACATTGTTTTGTCAAAAACATTTTATATTGAAGAAATTTAAATATGTGTTAGTCTCGAGAAATAAGTGTGGTTTAGGTGTTGGCATATGTTCGGGGAAATCGCAGAAAGCAGTGAAATGTAAACCACGCCTTGCTTCTCTGAATCCTCAACCCAATTCTGAAGGCATTGGAAGGAAATTACGTTAGCGGTTGTAATATTTGTGTTTTGAGAAATTGAATTTGTTGACATTGGCAAAACAATCATAGCAGCGTAGATTGAACGTTCAGAGAATGAATTCGCTGTCTCAATTTCGTTACTAAGTCTTGAAATGGTTGTAGCCACGAAACAGTTCATTATCATCCAACAGTATCACAATCTCAATTCTAGCGTATGTATCACATTCTTCTTATTATTACCTTTGCCACAACATTCCTTTTTTTGCCAATAACTCGGGCGCATCATGATGAAGAACAAATTCCATCTGCGTGGAATAACAAACACCCGTTAACAACACCATTGAAGTTTCAACCGCATTTTGATAATAAGGAATATAACTTACCTGCAATACAACTAAGAACTAGGAGGCACGCACACAACCCAACGCTTGCCATAGTTAGTATCTGCATGAGAAAGACGGGGAATTGAGAAAACGTTAGTGATTCGTGTACGCATGCGCAGAATAACTACCGACGCAAATCGGCTTCTGCAAAGATTCTACATCATATATATGTATATATATATATATCTCTACCGATATGTTGATGAGGTTAACTGATGGGCGTTTTAGGAGAGTACTTCAAGTATGTCAGTACATAAAGCTAGGATTTTTGATGATAAAAACTAGTTTCAAAACGATTATGTAAAAACCTGAAACGTGGGCGACGTATTTAGAGTCTCTTTATTGCCAGCTGCATAGCAAGACGTGTTAATGGCGAGGAGTGTTTACAGTCTTTTGCCGTGCCGTAAGCCGTTGTTAAAAACGCACTGAATTAACTAAACTTTGTCAAGAAGCTATGTACAATTCGCATCATAGCGAGAAACATGCGGCGATCAAGTAGCTTGTCGACACATAGCAATTACTAATTCCTAGTTGAGCTTGTTCAGTAACAAGATGAGAATTACAAGTTGGTGAATACTTATACAAAATATTCGAAATCAGAAATAACAATAACTGACATTTTACTTTTACTTTAGTTTTATATGTATTGTACTTTATTACTAACATTTTATTGCTGTCAACCAAATTATTATTATTATTATTATTTAAACATTACAAAACTATCTCTCGCGTCTCATGTAATCAACATATCATGTGACTTTTTATTTCATATTTTGTTACTAGACACTTTAACCCCCCCCCCCCTAACCGCGCACTACCACACAAGCCGTTTGCACGTCGTGTGACTTCAGGAGTTATTACGATTTTAAACATTTCAATTGAAAGCGAGAAACAAACCGGCAGATTTTAGTCGTCTTGTCACATTTTACCGAGAAATCTGTGATCTGCGTAATCACGTACGTGACGTAGTTTGATACTATGTGATCAAACAGTACCAAAAAAACGAAATATGAAGAAATCTATATGTAATGCATGATCTTAATTTAACCCTTGACCGATGAGTGGTGTTGTTCGTTTCATCAAGATAATTAATTATATTACACATGATGGCATTTTCTTATTCAAAGGGCCCAATTAAGTCGCGAACAAGGTATAGTGTCTCGGATATTGACATGCTCAATTGCTTCAAAATTATAGTGCCGCGCTATTACATATTTAGTATAACAATGCATTTATATTGTCTTAAAAATCATACAGCCTGGACAATGTTGTTTGCGGAGTTAGACAAATGGAATGAAATGACAATGAAATATTCTTGTAACTGATAAAAAATACATCTGCGATACATCGGCGAGGCCACTGGGCGGTACAACGCAACTAGAACAGACATAATTATTGATGCTCTGCACTAACGTATGTCATTGCAATATTTAACAAATACTTCAAACTAGAAATCAGAGTCCTTGTCAACAACGGTCCATACTCATAGAAATGGAACGGGTCACGCCTAGGAACGTGAGACAGAAGACACGACATCTGGCACTACGACTTTACGCACGTTATAATGTATCGCGATAATGAAAAAACATTGGATCAAACTTACAACATTGTAATTCATCTTCCTCATTATTCGTTTGTGTGATAAGATAATTCAAAGCTATTTGGATTTCCCTTTAAATTTGATTTCTAATGAAATATTATTTTCTAAGTGTATTGCTGCTTCATATTTATTATGTGGAATCACCTTATATCTATAACGAAAGTGCATATTTTTGATACACCGGTGCGTTAAATTGTACAACACAATGATATAGTTGTTTAGCAATTGTCTTGACGGTGAACACACAAAGGGATACATATTTTATATATTACTGGTAATCACACAAATTTAGTTTGATATATATTGTTGGAATGCACGGAGTACCTACACGGTAAAACACTCCATGAAAAACAAAAACATAATGAGTTATCCAGCATGCCGTCCATAATCTAAAATATTCCTTGTCGGCTTTGCATAAGAAGCACCGTAACTATGGGTTGCAAAAGACTGAGTGATTGTCATTTTTTTAAGTGACGCATATACTATACCACGTGTTGAGAAATAACGAACAAACGCCACTCAATTGAGCACATTGTAAACTCAGTGATTCTCCCAGCGTACAGTGTATATACCGATATCAGTCTCCATAGAGAGGGATTACGGACTGTCGTAGCATATAATTCTTCACGCCGCCGATGAATCAGTCGATCGATTTTTTTTCTAAACGACAGTGTATTTCTTGCTACACTATAAGCTATTAACGAAATCACGCGTGATTACACTGTTTAAATTTGAACGCATTTGCAATAACTAAAATATCATGCTCCACAGCGTGGAATTAGTTATATAAGCATGATCTTTGAATTACAACTTCTTAGCGATCATGAATCGGGAATCATGTTTTCTGCCATATGAATCAGTGCGATGGTTATCTTATTAAAGTACTAATGCTTGTAAGTCCACTGCATCCTGTTGCAAGTTGACTGAGCTTCAATGCAGATTTGTATAAAACCGCGCTCTCAAAATCAAATGAAGATAGATATTCACACTGAGTTCGATTAAAACACATCTGACCAGGCAGCAGATGCCGCTGCTGAAGTAGGAATCAAGATAAATGCAGGAGAAAATTAATGAAACACGGAGACATGGATGGGGATTTATCACCCAGTTCAATCACGCGATTCAGATAAAATTTGAGCTGAGATTATCGACATAAACGCCATAGTTATTTATTTAGGTTTTCTGAACAATTTGTCTTTAAATCAATTTCACTGACGTATGAAGTTTTCTATTATTGTATTAAGTCAGCGATAGACAAAGCAGAGGTAATTCTCAGTAATGAAATAAATTAGAGATGATATCAGTGAATATGAATACATATATATTGAAAATCGCGTAATGTTTTGGAAAATGTATGTTTAACCGCAAATTGATTAATACACACTGAAAAAAGCTGGAGACGAATTAGCGGGTGGCGTGGCTCGACGCCTAGCTAGCAAAAATACTTAGGTCTTCTAAGAAAAGGAATCTCCCATTGACAAAATAGACATCTATTGCGATGAATCTTAACGTATTTGGTATTTCAAACAGTCTCTCACCATGTAATGTTGTGATTCAAGTATTTTCATATTTACAATGATAGGAACGGAATATTCGATATTATATATCATCATTATTACACATCTGTCACTGTAATGCCATAAGTTACAGCGTACCTTAATTTTACGGGGTATTTTCATCCTACCATATTAAGAAATGCGAATTCCAAATACGGAATGAATAAAAACAAACATGGCTGCTACCAGGGTTTGACCGGACCCCATTCAAATAAGTTCTAAAGATTTTGTATTTTGGCATTCCCATTATGTTTCACTGGGAGAAAAAGATGTATAACAATAAGGTTATTACGAGTATACCGAAAATTATGCACTCAGATAGTACGCCGTTGCATCGACCTCCGTTGCGCGTCGGTCGATACTTTCGCTGAACTGTATTCGTGCATACTTTTCGGTATCCTCGTAATAAACTCATATTATCAGTGTAGTAAGTCTAAAAGCTTCCAAACTGTAGCCTTTACATTGACTTTCGCATTGTAGCCTGTGACCCTAATTACCCACACACAAAAAACTCCTATCGCGATATACCGGTCTTCACGCTGGGTTAGCAACGCTAGAAGAGATATTAAAGTTACTCGCTTACATTTACGCAATTAAAGACAATGGTGAACGAACAAATTTAACATCATAATTTTTCTGACAACGTGACTTGATACGAAATATTCCAATTTCACAGACACTATCAACCTTATTTGCGATGAAGTAGTATTAAAGGCATCATTAACGGTGTCGCTTCAAAACTGATAGGAATTATAATAATTGTAAAGTGATACGCAGTATGCTAGCAATGGCAATTTTGACAAATTCCGGTATATTTCAATGAATATACGTTATTCAAAAGTGCAGTCAATAACACCATATTTTGCTCCCGCCAAACTTACGATGCCTTATTTTGTATATTTCTGTCTTTTTTTTCATTTCCCTGTTAATTTCGAACTAAATAACAGGATCGAACTTTTTTGTGAAAACAGAAACTATTATCTATTTTTAAAAACGAAATGTGATTTTGACGTTAAAGTGCTTAAGTTAAACTGGAATACAAAAATAAACACGAAATAGCTAGCAATAATGAAATTTGGGTTCTCAAATAAAGATCATTTTGAAAAGGAATTTGGTAAATTTTCGTGAATACCTCGTGTTACATAATCTTTCCGACGAATGTAGTTATAAAAATCCATGAACAAATTTGGCAGCTCAAAATATCATTTTCTATTTCATATAAACAATTTTTCTGACATTTTGTGGTTTATCGTAAGTTACCCGCACCAAACTACGCATGCAAATAGTATATAACGGATACATTATTCACCGCTTAACAGATGTATGTGAGATATGCACTTTACAGATTTAATGGTAAATTATATTTGTTTTCTCTTTTGTTTCAACAATGCGTTACATATACAAAAATGTCTCCATAACAAAAACGTGCTTGTTTTTTTTCTCCATATTTTAATGCTTTCGTCACCAAGTTTGGTATGGAGACCAACAAACGAAAGAAAAACAGCTCACTTCGTTGTCCGTTGACTTTTCGCATTTTTTTTTTCAGTCAGAGTCTGAGTTGAAGCTGTACTCGAAAGTAAATATCACCATAAAAAACGTCAAAATGCTGACATAAAAATCATCGATGCGTCAAGCATGGTACAACGTTGATTAATTTGATGTCATCACGGACAGAACGGAGAAAAAAGAAACAGCAGAATATAAGTTAACTCAATATCGATGCTTCTCTAAAGGTGCGGCGGCTGATGCTTTGAAGAAACGAGTAACGGATTACATGAAGCATAACAAATTGGCGCCACCACAGAGTAAATAATTTTCCGAAAGATCAATTCTGTTGCCATCGCCGATCTCCTTAGAGATTCAAAGATTCCATAATAATCCTCTTACGTTAGCGACATTCATTGA